CTATGTGTCTGACATTTTTATTATTAACTATTGTTTCAACTAATTTGCCCGGTACCGACGTTAGACTTACCGGTCTGTAATTGCCGGGATCACCTCTAGAGCCCTTTTTAAATATTGGCATTACATTAGCTGACTTCCAGTCATTGCGTACAGAAGCCGATTTAAGGGACAGGTTACAAACCTTAGTTAATAGTTCCGCAACTTCACATTTGAGTTCTTTCAGAACTCTTGGGTGAATGCCATCTGGTCCCGGTGACTTGTTAATGTTAAGTTTATCAATTAATTCCAAAACCTCCTCTAGTGACACTTCAATCTGTGACAGTTCCTCAGATTTGTCACCTACAAAAGCCGGCTCAGGTTTGGGAATCTCCCTAACATCCTCAGCCATGAAGACTGAAGCAAAGAATCCATTTAGTTTCTCTGCAATGACTTTATTGTCTTTAAGCGCTCCTTTTGTATCTCGATCATCAAGGGGCCCCACTGGTTGTTTAGCAGGCTTCCTGCTTCTGATGTACTTAAAAAACATTTTGTTATTACCTTTGGAGTTTTTGGGTAGCCGTTCTTCAAACTCCTCTTTGGCTTTTCTTATTACATTCTTGCACTTAATCTGGCAGCATTTATGCTCCTTTCTATTTGCCTCACTAGGATTTGACTTCCACTTTTTAAAGGAAGTCTTTAAATTTACACTAGCTAGCCTAAGGGCAGTTCTCTTGGCCAGGGAGTATCACATTCTGGACCTGCCTCTGGTCCTCTGCACATTTCCCTAGCCAGCTCTGGCACATCCCTGCACTGGCTTTATGCCAGCCCAGAATTCCCCCAAACCAGGGGAATTCTCACCTCTCTCACTAGGTCAGCTTTATAGACACTTTGCCTCTTTAGCACTCTCTTTAAATGGGTTTTTATTCAAGTTATCTTTATGGCTAACCCTTATTTGAATTATACAAAGAAGAATATTGCCAACATAATTTCAGAAGAGCTTTCCATTTTTATTTAATAATTAATTTTTAAAACCGATGTTTATTTCCCACAAGAAGTGGGGATAGTTCTTGTCAGTTGTAGTATGTAGCTGGAGTGAGCAGTATTTCTAGTGGAAGAGAGGAAGAAAGAGATCCATTGTCCGTATTATTTTGAATATGTCTCTGCAACTAACAGATCTGCTTTAATCAGAATCTTAGTCTGATCCCCACAAAACTCACTTACTCTTGAATCCCTGCTTCCCTCACCCCACCCTGGCCTCCTGCCCTGGTCTTCCCCAGTTAGCAAGTATCTTATGATTTTCAAACTTTTGTTGTTATTCTTATCAAGTAATTTTAATATGGGAGAAACTACAGGGGATATGAGAGTATTGTATAAGTGTAAAGTGTACATCACTAAAACAATTATGAGAGCAGTTTGACAAATTTCAGAGCAGATTATAACAACCCTCCTGCATGTTTTTGAGATGCAACTCAGTTCTTAACATTCCTCATTTCAATTAGACTGTGAAACAGTCTCCTGGGGAAGCAGTGGAAACATCTTCCCTTGAGACTTTAAAACTAAACTGAACAAAGCTATTGAGAATATACGGTAGGGAGAACTCTTGCATTATCAGGGAGATTACAGGGACTAACAGGTCTTTTCCATATCTAATTTATATGATTATTAATTTTCTTCAACCTTAACAGTGTTTTTACTATGGGAATTTCAAAAACACCTAAGGGAGTTAGGCACGGAGCTCTCAAAGAAAATCAGTAGGAGTTACATGCCTACCTCTCAGGTGCTTTCGCAACCCTAGCCTAAGCAGATAACATAATTCACCATTTTCTTAAAGGATTTAAGGTTCCTTGAGGTGGGCAAGTTAGCTTGTCAAATTTTGCTTTTACTACTTATAGGTACTCTTGAATCTATACCCACCCTAAGAAGCTCTTTGTTGTTCATGTATTTCACATTTAATAAGTATTCGGTTGCTTTTATTAAGGACATTATACCCTTTGTGTTTGACATATTTGTACTGTGTCATGATTGCCTCCACATATATTGCAAACAAATCTGGCCTCCATCTGTTGTTTACCTTCTTGCATTCTGTCTTTATTCCTTAGCATGTATTTTTTATTCAATGAATTTCAGGGTTTTTTTTTCTATTTGCAAACACTTCTAATTTGGGAAGCATAGTTTTCACTAGCCTAGCAACTGCCTACTGTCTTTTGAAAAGTCAAGTTCATTTCTCACAATAGCCTGGTTTTGATATGGTTATTGATTATACCACAAATAATTCACTCTATAATATAGTACATTAGTTAACTGCAAATAAATTTGATTTATTACGGAGGTTGGTAACATAATGGTCAGTAATCTCACCTGACAGCTAGTTTCTTGTAAAGAAAATGTACTTTTCCCATGGTTCTAAATATTCTTGACTTTTTTGAAAGACTAACATTTTCAGTTTTCTTCTTGCTCCCACTGGAATATCTTGTAGATTTCATTGCCTCTAGGACTGACGCATGTAGCTGAAATAAAGAGCACAAAATGACACAACCTTATAAGAGCTTACACTATCAGTTCAAAAACACCACTTCAGGCCTTTGCTATGCACAATTTAATGAGTTAGCAGAAAAATCACCATAAGTAGAAAAGAACTTGATTAAAAAACCCAACATGGTGCAGTCAAAGGATTCATATTTAGCACTCCTAGAATATCACAATATATTTCTCAATGATTTATGGTGATCACCAATTTAGAGACGAGCAGAAGGACAAAATCCTTAGTGCCACCATTTCTATTCTATATAGGTTCTTATACCATGCTCATCATCATAGTGTCTGAGGCCCAGATCCACAGAACTATTTAGGCTCCTAACTTCCATTGAAATCATGTGTTTGTTCTCTCATGCCCCCATCCCTCCGGGGAGAAGTGTATGCAGTGGAGTGTTTTGTTTTGGATATTTTTTTATAATATATTTACTTGGCATACAGTGTGTGTGTGTGTATATATACAGTAGATAGATAGATAGGTATGTTGCTATATGTTTATATTAGAGTAGGTTAGAACCTTGCACTTAGATCAGAAGGTTGTGAGGTTTGGGATGATCCTTAGTTCCCTTGGAAGTTCATTGCATAATCTTGGGCTGGCCCACAAAAAAGCTTTGTCTCCTGTCATCTAACCAGCTTCCTGAGCCAAGGAAAATTAACTCTGAACAGCTACAAAAAAGTTGTATTCCAGGAAACTGGAACAGAAGAAATACTACAATAAAAATTCCAAATAGTTATTGCAAGTGGAAGAGCATATTAGTTCAAGCAAAGCGTGGTTGGCATTCTGTCACTAAATCATTGACACCAAGGTTATATTTCATAACCATTGCCCTCAGGGTAAATCTTATAAAAGGAACAGAAGACATGTAAACAAAGCCAAGGAGGACACTGACTGTTTATTGAGGATGTACAGAATGTTACTGATAGTTGTAAAACATGTACACCCAGTAAGTAAAAAACACCAAAAGCGTAAACATAGGCTCCAGTTGGCAGATCCACTTCAGCAGCTGAAAAGGGCAAGGCAGAAGGAGCTGTTTTGGGAACACGAAGCAAATGTGATCAGAAAGCCATAGAGGTCCAGAGACAATAGTTCTTGACAAAGGTCCAGTAAAAGACAGAATAACACTTTCATTTGCCAAGGGCATTTAAGTTTTTTTACTTTGACATCCATCGGACATATTTCTATTTGTGTGTTTTATTGGTGGATTCTGTTTATTTTTATTGTTGTTTTTGGTTGATATGTTTTATTTGCAATTGATTTAAAAGAATGGGTCCCACAGGAGAGATGTATTAGCTCTAGTTTATGCAACTTTACTGTGTGTGCAACCTTAATTCACCACCATTGTGTTTATTCATTAGAATACAGTCTTTAATTACATGATCTCATGCAATATATTCCACAGGACCCCTGCCACATTCAGGGCACAGGATGGATCAGCTCTGGGGATGAATCAGGGCTGCGTAGTAAATGAAGCTGCTGTTTGTAGGACCCCTGCCTCATTTGCTGATGTAGACGGTGGAAGGTGGGTAGTGAATGAAGTATGGGATTGAAGGACAATCTCATGGGAAAGGCCATTGTATGCTGTCTTGGAATATCGAATTTCACCCCAGCTCTGCCACAGAGTCGCTATATGAGCTAGGAATGACACTTAAACCAAACATTTCACAGGTGGCCATTAATTATTGTTGTTCTTCATTTTTCTGGATGCCTGACTTGAGACCCGGGGTTCTGATCTGTAGAAACGCTGGGCAGTGGCAGCTGTGCTTTAAACGTAGGGAATGCTATATACTCTGAAACATCAGGTCCTAGGTGTCTCAAATTCAGCACCCACATATAGTGGATACTTTTTACCTTAATCGTACTGAGCTGGATGAGTGAGCATGTAATTAAAGAGGATCATATACCATAAAGGTGAATTATGGGGGATGGTGAATTAAGGCTCTCCAGGGAACCATAATACTGGGCATTTCCTAACTTTGGACTGCTTGACTTTGTCCCTTTCACAATGACCCTTTAACACTTTCTGTGTGTGTGTGTGTGTGTGTGTGGAGGGGGGGGGTTCCTCTTAGCGCAGGGCAGCAAAGTTAGGGTAACACCCCAGGGGCCATTCACCCCATTTCTCGCAGCAACCCCCAGCCCAGGGAGCTGCAGCCCCCTCACTGCAGGGGGCAGAGGAGGAGCCCTGCAGTTGGCTGGGAGCAGGGAAGGGGGTGGTCGCTGGAGGGTACAGGAAGGCGGGGCGAGAGTGGTACCCACGGGGCGGGGGCGGCGGGAGGGAAGAGGCCGGCCGAGCGAGCGGCTGGGTGGGGTGAGGCGGGGCGCGTCCCGCACGGGCTCCGCAGCACTGAGGAGCGGGAGGCCAGTGAGGCTCCCTCGGCTCCAGCCGCTCCTCCCCGCCGCCTGCCAGTCCGGCGCTGCGGGGCTCGCCGGCGGCTGGCTGGGTGCCGCGGGGCAGGGGCCGGGGGGTGGAAGGCAGCAGGGAGGAAAGAGGATGCAGCCGCCTCCTCCCGCCACTCCGGTGCTGGCTCCTTTAGCCGTGTTGGATCCTACAGGTAAGTCCTGGCGCTGGGCACCGACGCAGCAGCGGGCGCCCCCGGCCCGTGCCCAGAGGCAGCGGCAATCCCGGGCACCTTGGGGCCGGGCTGCGGGGCAGAGGGCGGGCAGCTCAGGTAGCTCCGGGCGATGCTCTGAAGTTCTGGGGGCTGCTCGGTTCGCCCGGAGACGGGGCCCGTGCCTGGAAACCCCCTGGCAGCTCCCGGGGTTTTGCTGGTGCGCTTCTCAGCTGTGAACACGCTCTGCCTTCGCCTGACCAACAGCTGCTTAACCAGGTTTCGTGCTTTCTCCAACGTGCAGTCAAGCCATGACTTTCCTGCCCTGAGAGAACTGCAGTGCACATAAATCTACTGGGGGGAAATGAACTGGGAAGGCTTCTCCCCCCCCCGCTCCCTCTCCCCCAAACCCTGTAGCTGTGCAAGGAGTCCCACGCTGCTCAGACAGTTGAGACACATCACCAGGCTTTTTTTTTTTTTAATTCGGCTGGAAAACCGTGTTTAATTGTAATTTAGGTAGTTATAGTTACTCTTATGGTTATTCGTTGATTGTTTAACCAGCCATGGACACAGATGCTAGGACTCACCTATGTAGCTGATACACTGAAAGCAGTAAACTTGTTGAGTATTATTAAAATCTGGATTTGACAATTCTGATTGCAACATTGTGAGGATAGCATGAAAGTACTATTCCCCACCCCGACCCCCACCCAATATTGCAAATCTTAATTTTTCACAGGGAAAGATCTGTTCCCTGGTAATCTCTATGGGATACTGATTTGCCTGTTCATTTATAAATGCTTGCACTTGCAATGGAGGAAATAATTTTCTGCTCAGATGAAGCCCAATTGATCACCTTCTTAAATAGCAATCTAAAAACATATCACAGAGTGCCTAACAACTAAAAGAGCAATAAGGAAAGAATGTGGAGATAGATAATTCAGTTTGACATATAGAGTTTGTCTTTTACTATTTTAGTTAATACTTTTAAGGTTAAAAAAGGAACCTATTCTATGAGATACAGTACAGTACTAGGGTTATTGGTGGATTGTAATAATCCCTCTCTACAAATTAACTCATTGTCAAGTGTTAAAATTCTGCTCTTTCTTGTCACTCTCCTTTATCACATTGGTACATTTAAAAACATTTTCAATTTATTTTTTCCATTTAGTTGTTGCATTGTTTTCATGGAATCGCTGTAAGGATAATGTAATATAGAAATGGGCTTTGTGTATGTATGTAATACATCCTTTTCTCTCTTTGCTGAAAATTAACAGTTGCTATGCTTGAGCAGTTTAGAGTGCCAGCAGATCAGGGTACAGCATTAGTTTTGGCTCTTTTCCACTTACAGATGGTTTATGGCTATGATGGGAGTATACAGTATTCAGTAGTAGAAACAATTCCACTCAAACTTTTGACTGGTGCCCTTGTAATACCCGCATGACAATTGGTTTTATTTTTTTACATTTTTACATTACAGTTGTAATTGAGTGCCTTATTGCTAAACTAGTCTGTCTCTGAAAAGGTTTGTTTTCTGTTCCTAAATGTACAGGTTTGTTTTCTCTTCCTAAATGTGTCCTGGAAAATGCAAATGAAATGTAAAAGAGAGGTTCAATATTTGATTATTCCCCCAAAGTTCCTTACTTTCTAGCTTATCTTGACTTTATCAGTGGTAGTTCTTGTGTATGTCATTCAGTATGGTATATGGAGACCTTGCCTTTACCCAAACATCAGGACAGCAGTCAAAAAGGATGTATTAGACCCTTTATATTTTTATGTGGCAGTTTTGAAGAAAACAGGGAATAAATGGTAATAGCAAAGATTTATTTAGGATATTCGCTATGTGATTTAAGTATTTATTCAGTTAAACTGTCATTTTAACCATTGATTAGCTAGTCATTTAATTATTTATTGGTGAAACAATTGTTGCCAAAGCAATGAAGTCATAGTGATACTGCACAAGATCACTTACTATAGCTAAACTATTTACAGTATTAAGATTTTTTTTCTTAAGGTCTACTCAAAAACTCAGCAACATTTTTTAAGGACTAGACTGTTCAATATACTCATGGGTTCTACAACACATCTACATAATAGAGACAAGAGTCAGATAAAAGCTGCTAGCTTGTGCCTGGAAACGAATGCAGTTGCATATGGTTTAGTTAGTTTTAGCACACTGTTTTAGTCAAGCATTTAATCAGAAAAGAGGAAGTAATCCCCAAAAGCAGGGCTGATATCTTTTTTTAAACATCTCAGCCCATCACATTTAGTTTTAGGAGGCAATGTAGGATTAGTTCAATGTCATTAGTATAGCACATTATTAAAAAATACACAATGAAAAATATAGCCAAGGAAGATATGGCATTGAAGGGAAGACTGGAGTAATGAAACATAATTAATTTAGCCCCAAAGACATACAAATCTCATTTCTTAAATATTAGCTTCATAGCTACAATATATTAGTTGCAACGCTTATATTAGCCCTTTGATGTTATATGTTATGTTACACAGGGTTAACTTGTATTACATGATTCTTTGTAACATTATGTAATGTAAAACATTGAAAATGTAACCTTTTCCCCTTACAAATCTTTCTCCTATAGATCAGGGATGTTAATATACAAGTCTCTTCACATCTACATCACCTTGACTAGAGCAAGGCGACAAAATGGTGTGGTGTTGATCTCCCAATAAGTGTGATTTGTGCTCTGCACTTCCTCCCTTGCCAAATTCACTCCCTCTTATTTTTCCCGTAGACTTCCAATTGGCCTGTTTGCAGGAGACTGTTCATTGGTTTTAACAGGAGTACTTGCATTAGCAAAGCAAGGTGGATTTAGACATTTTGGAGTTGGACTGTAGATTATAGATGGCTTTTCTAGCACTGACAAGTCATGCCTCACAGGTCTCTTTCTCTCGCCACACCTTCCATCACAGACTCACTCCATCCTAAAGTTATACCTACCCCTTCACAAGCCTCACCTTTCCCTGTTCCAAACCCATGCCTCCACCTCTAGGGTTGCATCATTTCACTCTGGCAGAAACTGAACTAAGGTCTTCCCACCAAATCATGCATCTTTTGTCAATGCGGACACACTCTTCCGCAAATAGACTTCTGCTGGCTGTTGTGAAAAGGGGTCCTCCAGTGTATTTCCCTCAATTCCTGATTGATTGATTGATTGACAGGGGGTTCTCTGACTCTGTTTCCCCATCTCTAGGGTGCTGGGAAGGGTTTGAATGTCACTGTGTTCCCTCTCTTGACTCTAGGAATGATGATCTGTACTTCTTATCCAACCCAACTGCTGTATGGGTATGTAAGCTCTACGTGCTGTTCTCCTCCTGTCTCTGAGCTGCTCAGAAGAGGAGATTCTATTTTCTCTTCTCTGTGTCCTGATGGCTTTCTTTCTCCTTCGATGGAGGTGGGAGTAGTATGGTTTAGGGCCTCAAATAGATACTTAGCCTGATAAATGTTTATTAGGCAGAGCAGAGAGTACTAGTGGGTTAAGACCATACCTGGTGGAGCACGGATCAGTGATGTGGAGGTTAGCATTATCTGTCTATCTAATCTATCTCTCAGATTTTTTTTATAGTATCACTGTGGTATCTATACTTTGTTATCACATTGCCAGCCAAGATTGTTGAGGAACATTACCATCACAATGTAATGCTGGTAATAATTTGTGACAGTCCTCATTTGATTCTTGATTAGAGCAGGGACTCTAGTAAAGATGACTCTACTGAGAAGACTTTCCTTTCATTTGCTTGATTCTTGGAATGGTGAAATACTAATAGAAAAAAATGGGGAATTCCAGGGAGGGACAATTTAATATTTTACAATTCCATCTTGAGTAACTATGCATCAGTTAACAGGGACTGACTAATTGCTACTGAGAGTGACTTCAGCAATAACAGGTTGGATAGTTAATGGGTTTGATGAACAATCTCCTGTGCTTGCAGGGGCAGCTGCACTGAAGAGGAATTTGCCCCTAGGAAAGATGGCAGCAGTAGTATCTCATTCGTTACCTAGTTGTTCTAAGGGCAACTTTAATTCATGGCTGACACTCTGGAACAGCCCTTGCCACTAGAGACTGACTGAGGTGTATGCTGACTCAGACCCTAACTATCTTCTCCCTCAGTACCACAGGGATTCGGGCGAGTCTCTTCTTATGCACATTTAACAGCTTTGTGCGGTTGGTAAAAACAGAGAGAAAAATAACAATTTAAATACTGTACCTGTAGTGCAGGCGATTCCGCCCGCCATTACACTCAATGTAATTTTGACTATACGTGATTTTCGCTTTACGCGCTGACAGCGGAACGTAACCCCAGCATAAGATGAGACTCGCCTGTACTTCTGACTGAGTAATTTTGATTTGTTTTTGGCTGCAGGTTATTGTAGTTGAACACTTCCTGCCCCACAATGGGTAGCTATATTAAAAGAAAATCCCAAACATATTGCATCTGCCCTCTAAAAAGCAAACAAAAGCTATGGAATTTTTTTTTTTGAAATGGCAGCACTGCTGCACTCAATAAAACAGTATCAAAAGGGAAATAATAAAGCTTTGTACTTGTAGCGCTGGTCATTTGACGATCTCAAACTGCTTTACGAATAAGCCTAATAAACATTTATCAGGCAAAGTACAGAGTTGAGGCTCTAAACCACACAAATAGTTAACATTATCTATGTATGTAGTTCAGGATGATAAGCATTACGTACATTTAAAATATTAATATTCTGTTAAGACAATATTAAATTATCTCAGTAAACACCAGGGTTGCCAATAAACGTTACAGCCTAGGCTATTGGAGCATTGGAAATGCTGAGTCTCACAGGTGAATTGGATAGTGTTCTTTCCCTGCAATGTTTATGGAGGCACTTGGTATTGTTGAGATTGTAAAAAGTCTTAATGTATTCTTTTTTTTTTTTTTTAGGCAAGGCCATATGTGTTGCCTTAAACTTATGCATGCATGTCTCACTGATGTAAAATTATACAGAAATTTTTCAAAACTGTCTGTAGTGTAAGTTTTACAAGTCATTTTTCATTACTGGGAATTTTACAAACACACACAGAATGTTGAGGCAGTATATGATCTGTAAGCCAAATTGTGTAGTAGATTACACATACTAAGGTCCATTTTGAACATAAAACATTTCTGTATTAGTTCTTTTTGGAAACTACTGATTCTGAGGAGACCAAATGATTGAGATTTCATTTTATTTTCTGGTGTGATTTTTGCTGGCTTTGGAGTGTCGTATGGAATGAAGATTCAAAATTCAGAACACTAGTCTGACCCTCAAGAATGCTGGTCACATTGAAGTTTTGCTCCAGTTCTCTTTCTTCTTTGAAATGAAATGTTGTTCTTGAATAGTAGCATTCATTGAAAATCCTTTGCTAGAGATGTGCCTATAAAGGTAGCAGACTTTTAAGATAAGAGAGCTTTTTCAGGGTAATGTGACTATCCTAACTTTGTCCTTTGAATCACAGTATTTCATATGTAGTTTGTGTACATTACACATTCACATCTACAGGTGTTAGTAACGTTGTCAAGTTCTTAAATATCTAAATTAATTCCTTTTAAAATGTGTATGTATCTCCCTCTATAGTTCCTTCCACCTTCTCTTCCTTATCTGGTCAGTTTGCTTGAGGATTGGTGCGTGTATGTCTCTGGGGAGGAGGTTATTAGTGGGAGCTTTCTTTTCTCTCTTGGCTTGTTCTTTGTTTTTATGTGATATGTTGGCTTGAGGGCAGGGGAATTAAAGTTCCCACTCCTCAAGTATTTGGGCCAGATTCAATTCTGCACCAAGATGCACTCCGCACTGGAGAGAGGTTGGAAGGCAGTTGCGGGGAGGCTTAAGGAGGGAAATGGCATGTCAGATGAGAATTGCTGTAGGAACTCTGCTCTCTCCTTGGCCCTGTCATGCCCTCTTCCACCACAACATACATCCTATTCTGGGGATAAAGGAGGACTCGCATAGAGCCTGGCTCTCTTTAAGATAGTTGAGAATTCTCCTCCACTAGGGGAATTCTCATCTGGCAAACTGTGGCCAGATTATGTCCCCTTTGTGCTGCTGAGGTGGTGGAAAGAGGGTGGAAGTGAGGCTGAGAATCTATCTCCTTTTCTGTTTATCTTTTTGTGAGATAGTGGTTTTTTTGTTGGTGTAGCTTAGAAGATGACTGTGTGTGGGAGGTTATGGTGAGCAAAGGCACTGAGGTTACCGAAGACTCTCAGGGTGAAATAAAATCAGAAAATCCCTTTGGCTTCCATTGAAAAATACTTGAGCAGCATAGATGGAATGACTAACTTAGAAACCTCTTGCAAGCAGGCTTGACTGGTTAATGCCTGATCTGTTGTTACTAAGGCTGACACTTGATGATTCTGAAGTGCCATGTCATGCAAATTTGGCATGTGGTTGGATGAAGATGCTTGGCTGGTTCTACACAGATATTCAGTGATCACTAGCCTCAAACAGAATAAAGAAGTGGGCCAATAGCTGTGATATTTTCATGCTGCTTGTAATGTAGGAGTTAGTCAATGATGGAGATGAGTTTGTTCAAGCATATGGCTGTTTCGTATATCCGTGGGGCTGTACCAAGTATATCAAGTTTTGTGGTTCTGGTTACGCAGAAGGCCTCATAGATGAATATAGTAAACTGGTGCTGGCAATGCAGTTGAAGTCCTCCTGGATTAGAATCCTTGGGAATTTTCAATGTACATTTGGACAGCAGATTGGATAGTCTGGTCTGTGTGCTCCTTGAAGTGATGGATTGTTTTGATTTTTTTCCCCCCAGAGGCTTGAGGAGTGCTCTAACATGACCAGCCATATGCTTAAATTGGGTCTGCAACTATCTCAATATTTGGTGTTTTTCTTAAAGCCCCAGCTCCTGGAGTCACGGGATTATGTGAGAATCTCAGCTTTCATTTAAACAAAGTTTCTAGTCTTTATATTTTCAGAGAAAAAATTTGAAAAAGTGAAATCTAAGCACTCAAAAACAAGAAGGTAGATAACCGCATCCCCCAACAAATATATGTTTTTTAAATCTCATTGTTTTTAAGACAATTTTTGACTTTGGGTGGCAACCTGACTCATGATTTTTGAATGTTTGAGGTTGGCCATACTGGGTCTGCTTTAGATTCTTGGATTTGTAGATTAGCCTGTTGAAAGATCTGACCATACCCTCATATATTTCGGTGCATGGGTTATTCCATACTTCTCTCCTTCCTTACCACCAATGGACCACCATAGATTAAACGTTATTGCCAAAAGATGAACCAGATGGGGCACAAATTGGGGAGGAGATGACTGGAGTCACCTGGATTAATTTCTGATTGTCTGTTGTTGTTTTCTTCAGTAAAGCAGAGCACACTTCATACTGAAGAAAATATTTGACACGTTTACTGGTTCTGTTTGAGGAATATCAACAAACATATCTCAGTTTTTATCTGTGTGTTCATAAAAAAATAATTGATGAATTGGTTTGCAAACTGAATCTGTTCTGTGGTGTGGGATTTGAAATTCAAAGACTGAGCTGTGTTCCTCAGTTTTACTTGGTCACATGAGTCACATTGTATTGCTTCTGTTCCCTGATTGGCTCCTTGTTTGCTATTTCTCCCTCTGATTCCTTTTTCACATTTGCCCACAGTGGACTCCTTCTCTTTGGTTCATTTTGAATGTTAAGAGGGTGCATTTTTAGATGGCTATAGTGATTTATTGTATTTTTTTAAAATATGTTTTTACAGAATTTTGGTGAGCTATGGGCAGGAGCTCTATAATAATTGAGTTGTAACTCTAGATTTCTAAAATAAAGATACACTTCTGCCTTTCTGCCTCAAAGTTAAAACAACAAAATGATAATAAGGTTATTATTCGAGCTGGCTGACTACAGTAGGATTATCTGCAATCTTTTACTCCTGGGTACCTGAGTCCAAATTGAGATGAGATTAAATAAATTTCACAGAACAGTTCCTGTTAAATAAAATAGTATATGTATAATATATCACAAATTCATTAGCTGCAATACAGCTTTACTTCAGAAGATACCAACTGGTTTGCTTACCTGATAAATATAAAGAGAGAATTTATTTTCCTGATAACACAGCAGAGCTTCTGCTAATCTTCTTTAAAATTCACATATTTGTGTGTTGTCCACATAGAGCCAAATGGGAATTTTGCCAAGGTAAGGGTGGTTTGAGGTGTGCAGAATTGGCCTACAGATGTGAACAACAACTTCATTACAAGTTTTACCACAAATAACTGAAAAAATTGTCACTTTAGCTTAGTAAAACCCCATCTTGTATGTGTAAACAATGTATTATAGTCTACTAAGCTCCAGCTAATCTTTATATAATTTAAGATCCTCTCTCTGCTGCAAAATATTATCCCTTGTTGGGAGAAAGGGTTAAAAATGAAATAGTTGGAATGAGTTTTCATTTCATACTTGTACTGCCAAGATTGCAATGAAAAACTATTTTATATTTGTTTCCCCCAACAGGACAGTTTGCAAAACGAAAGAAGACTTCTCTCTGGTTCACAGTTTCTCTGCTGGTAGTGTCTGTGTTCATACTGACCATAGGACTTGCAGCTACCACAAGAACAGAAAATGTTACCGTTGGAGGCTATTACCCAGGAATCATTGTGAGTAGAGAAATGTATTTTAGATTATCCGTTACTACCAATACGCTATTATGGCATAGACACAAGCAACCACAATTGATGAAGGAAATTTCAAACTCTGTTGCATTACTGGTGAGGAAAAACCTAAGGTGCATAATGTTTAGATCTAGTTCTATTATGTTTGTGATTCAGATGTAGGCCCTAATCCCGCAACTTGTGCATGAAGGCTGACCACTGTGCCTGCATGGAACCTCACTGAATTTAATACCTTTCTGCACAGGCACATGGACTCAATTTCAAGAATGGGCCATAATTTTCTACTGTATGTTAGTAATGACTTTCAAATCACTTAATTCATTATCACAACCTTGATTCTTAATTGGACTTTTAAATTATCATTTAGTAAAGGAGAGAATATAAGTACCACTAAATACTCTGCTTTTAACGACTTCAAAAGGTAGTTTAGCATTAACTTTAATTTCATTGACTTCAATAGGATGGATTATTCACTTGCTTAAAGTTAAGCACATGCTTAAGTACACTGCTGAATTGGGACCTGAATGATTACAGTGTACTATTAGCTCTTGTTCATAATATAATCATACATTTTAAGAAAAGGGATGAGTATCTGTTAATACTATGCATAAATTTTGCATTGCCAATCGTTATTTGTAAATTATAATTGTTCTTTCTAACTAAGTTCTCTAATATGTTAAAGTCATGCTGAGAACATATTTGTTGGAAGGATTAATTTTGGGGTAATAATCTATATTAAGTGGTGTTTAAAAATGGAATTAAAATCAGTTCCAGGAATAAAATTTTAAAAGAATGCATTGTCCTTGGATCAGTTAAAATATGTAGACTAATACAATGGCATAGTCTTTAAATAGTTATTTGTAATTGAAATTAAAACATTTAAAAAATAAACTTTCTACAGTCATTCCATTGGAGGAAATTTAATGGGTAATAAGTAATAAAGTTCATGTGCACAAAGCAGTTAATTATAGCAATTAGTTTATTTTAGGGAGAAAATGTGTGTGTACTAAACAGAAAAATATATTTCTCTAGAGCATTTTTTAAAAATTAAGTGTTATAGGTTTTTATTTAATAGGCTGATAGAATAGCTAGAAATGTTCAGAATGATTTGCAAATGAAAACCTTTTAATAATGATTTTTCCCTCTATTTCGTTTTAAGGCTGTTAGAGCTGATAACATTTTGTAAAAGCATGATCATATTTTACACATTTGTGGTTGATCATTGTAGTAACTGAGAAAGAGCAATGATTAATACATCAACGTCACCCTGTATTGATACAATTACAGCTTCTGATAGTGTGAGATGGCAACAGCTTCAACTCCCATTGACTTCAGTGAGAGCTGAAGAAGCTGAGGGCCTTGCAGAAAGTATTAACATACCTATTCTGGTTCCATTTTTCCTTCACTAGTAACATTTCATTCACAAAGTCTGACTGACAATTCCTTTCCTGCTGTGTGAATGCAGCATACAATGCATAGATTTATGGTGCATTGGCTTAGGAAGTATCAGAGCAGCTGAAAATGAACACATTTGTAAGGTAAGATTATGTTTTTTCATTCTTGATGTGATAAACTAAAAGTTTATTTTTATGGAGCAATGAAAAAATAAGACTGCTTGTGAAGAGAGAAATTTAAATTGGAATTAAAAGAAGGGTGGTGGTGGCTTGCTCCCATGGAATTCAGTAACAATGCTCTTACTTCAGTGGGACAGGATAGGGCACCAAAGCTGCATTAGGCTTAGCTCAAGTGACTTGGGTCGTTTTAAAAAATATTATGCAAAATGACTTAAGCCCCCAGTTCTCTTAGCACTACTGAGACTACTTCTAACATGAATAAAATTACTTGTGTGAAAGTAAGAAAGGGGAACTATGCAAAAATGAGGAGGTTAGTTAAATAGAAATTAAAAGGTACAGTGACTAGAGTGAAATACCTGCAAGCTGCATGGACACCTTTCAAAGACCCCATAATAGAGGCCCAACTAAAATGTATACGCCAAATTTAAAAACACAGTAAAAGAACTAAAAAAGAGCCACCGTGGCTTAACAACCATGTAAAAGAAGCAGTGAGAGATAAAAAGGCATCTTTTAAACAGTGGAAGTCAAATCCTAGTGAGGTAAATAGAAAGGAGCATAAACACTGCCAAATTAAGTGTAAAAATGTAATAAGAAAAGCCAAAAAGGAGTAATAACAAAATGTTTTTTAAGCATATCAGAAGCAGGAAGCCTGCTAAACAACCAGTGGGGCCCCTGGACGATCGAGATACAAAAGGAGCACTTAAAGATGATAAAGTCATTGCGGAGAAACTAAATGGATTCTTTGCTTCAGTCTTCACGGCTGAGGATGTTAGGGAGATTCCCAAACCTGAGCAGTCCTTTGTAGGTGACAAATCTGAGAAACTGTCACAGATTGAAGTGTCCCTAGAGGAGGTTTTGGAATTAATTGATAAACTCAACAGTAACAAGTCACCGGCACCAGATGGCATTCACCCAAGAGTTCTGAAAGAACTCAAATATGAAATTGTGGAACTATTAACTATGTTTGTAACCTGTCCTTTAAATCAGCTTCTGTACCCAGTGACTGAAAGATAGCTAATGTAAGGCCAATATTTAAAAAGGGCTCTAAGGTGATCCCGGCAATTACAGACCAGTAAGTCTAATGTCAGTACCGGGCAAATTAGTTGAAACAATAGTAAAGAATAAAATTGTCAGACATATAGAAGAACATAAATTGTTGGGCAAAAGTCAACATGGTTTCTGTAAAGGGAAATCATGTCTTACTAATCTATTAGAGTTCTTTGAAGGGGTCAACAAACATGTGGACAAGGGGGATCCAGTGGTCATAGTGTACTTAGATTTCCAGAAAGCCTTTGACAAGGTCCCTCACCAAAGGCTCTTATGTAAATTAAGTTGTCATGGGATAAGAGGGAAGATCCTTTCATGGATTGAGAACTGGTTAAAAGACAGGGAACAAAGGGTAGGAATAAATGGTAAATTTTCAGAATGGAGAGGGGTAACTAGTGGTGTTCCCCAAGGGTCAGTCCTAGGACCAATCCTATTCAACTTATTCATAAATGATCTGAAGAAAGGGGTAAACAGTAAGGTGGCAAAGTTTGCAGACAATATGAAACTGCTCAAGATAGTTAAGACCAAAGCAGACTGTGAAGAACTTCAAAAAGATCTCACAAAACTAAGTGATTGGGCTACAAAATCACAAATGAAATTTAATGCGGATAAATGTAAAGTAATGCACATTGCAAGACATAACCCCAACTGTACATACAATATGATGGGTGCTAATTAAGCTACAACTAATCAGGAAAGAGATCTTGGAGTCATCATGGATAGTTTTCTGAAGACGTCCACGCAGTGTGCAGCGGGAGTCAAAAAAGCAAACAGGATGTTAGGAATCATTCAAAAAGGGAGAGAGAATAAGACAGAGAATATCTTATTGCCCTTATATAAATCCATGGTACGCCCACATCTTGAATACTGCATTCAGATGTGGTCTCCTCATCTCAAAAAAGATATACTGGCATTAGAAAAGGTTCAGAGAAGGGCAACTAAAATGATTAGGGGTTTGGAACAGGTCCCATATGAGGAGAGATTAAAGAGGCTAGGACTTTTCAGCTTGGAAAAGAGGAGACTAAGGGGGGATATGATAGAGGTATATAAAATCATGAGTGGTGTGAAGAAAGTGAATAAGGAAAAGTTATTTACTTGTTCCCATAATATAAGAACTAGGGGCCACCAAATGAAATTAATGGGCAGCAGGTTTAAAACAAATAAAAGGAAGTTCTTCTTCACACAGCACACAGTCAACCTGTGGAACTCCTTGCCTGAGGAGGTTGTGAAGGCGAGGACTATAACAGGGTTTAAAAGAGAACTAGGTAAATTCATGGAGGTTAAGTCCATTAATGGCTATTAGCCAGGATGGGTAAGGAATGGTGTCCCTAGCCTCTGTTTGTCAGGGGGTGGAGATGGATGGCAGAAGAGAGACCACTTGATCATTGCCTGTTGGTCCACTCCCTCTGGGGCACCTGGTATTGGCCACTGTCGGCAGACAGGATACTGGACTGTATGGACCTTTGGTCTGACCCAGTATGGCCATTCTTATGTTCTTATGTGTGCATAAGTATTTGTAGGACTAGGGACTTAGGCCTGGTCTACACTAGGCGTTTATGTCGAATTTAGCGCCGTTTCATCGAATTAACCCTGCACCCGTCCACACCACAAAGCTATTTAGTTCGACATAGAGCTCTCTTAAATTCGACTTCTGTACTCCTCCCCAACGAGAGGAGTAGCGCTAAATTCGAAATGGCCATATCGAATTAGGCTAGGTGTGGATGGAAATCGACGCTAATAGCTCCGGGAGCTATCCCACAGTGCACCACTCTGTTGACGCTCTGGACAGCAGTCCGAGCTCGGATGCTCTGACCAACCACACAGGAAAAGCCCCGGGAAAATTTGAATTCCTTTTCCTGTCTGGGCAGTTTGAATCGCATTTCCTGTTTGGACATCGTGGCGAGCTCAGCAGCACTGGCAACGATGCAGAGCTCTCCAGCAGAGGTGACCGTGCAATCCCAGAATAGAAAGAGGGCCCCAGCATGGAGTGATGGGAAAGTCTTGGATCTCATCGCTGTGTGGGGCGATGAGTCCGTGCTTTCCGAGCTGCGCTCCAAAAGACCTAATGCAAAGATCTATGAGAAGATCTCTAAAGCCATGGCAGAGAGAGGATACAGCCGGGATGCAACGCAGTGCCGCGTGAAAATCAAGGAGCTGAGACAAGGTTACCAAAAAACCAAAGAGGCAAACGGACGCTCCGGATCCCAGCCCCACACATCCCGTTTCTACGAGGCACTGCATTCCATCCTAGGTGCGGCCGCCACCACTACCCCACCAGTGACCGTGGACTCTGAGGATGGGATATTGTCCGCGGCCGGTTCCTCGGACATGTTAGCGGACGGGGAAGATGAGGAAGGAGATGAG